GGCGCTGCGGAGACTGTGGGACAAAGTAGAACTAAGTTGAGGAGCAGCCGCGGTGACGACGTCCCGGTGACGTCACCGTGCGGGGTTTAAAATGGGAGCTCGGGCTCCGAGAGTGGGCGGGCGGGTGGTGGCAGCTTCGGACGCCGCGGGCCTGGAGCCGCGCTCGCCTCTGGGGCTTCTCTGCCTGGAAGCGCTCGCCCTCAGCTTCGCGTGCTCCTGGAGTGCGCGTGGGGGTGGGCTCGTTTTTCTGCTATTCCGGTCAGATTCCTTCAGATAGAAAAATAAAGTCCTTATGACTCATCTTGTGTTACAAGCAAAAGCAACCACTAAGTGGTTTTTTCCTTCCTTGCTTCATTTTTATTTGTTGATAGGGAACTGGGCAGACAAAAGCAAATCCCCGAACATTGGTAGGTAGCACATAGTTGGCAAATGGAATGAATGAGAATGATTTAGTTAAGGATTCCGTAGAGTGTTTCCTTGTTTTGTTCGGTGGCGTGGAGAGCCTAGGATGGTTCCATCAGCAGCTTTCTCTCCAAACTGCATATTAAATTCCAGTGGGTTTTCTTTCCCAGCAGAACATGGTAGAGCGCAAGTGTAGCTTTATAAAGTGGTAATGGCGTACCTTCTTCAGGCTCAGGTCGTACAGCATTTGTAGTGGACTAGAGTGCGTGCCCGCCTCTCTATTTTGTGTGCTGATCCATATCCAGCTCCTGGTAGCCAGCAGTGAAAGGTGATTTTGGCATTCTGGGGTTCCAGAAGGAAGGTTTGGGTGTCTTCCCGACCAGAATCAGGGAGGGTATGGTTGCCAGCACACTTCTCAAATAGCTATATAAAATTTATTTCACAGTGAAGTAAGTCCCTTGTTTGAATTTGCAGAAGAATCACATTATGAAGAGAGACTTAAAGAGCAGTTTGGGAAAAGAAAGCTAACAGAATGATCTTTATTTTTTGAAAGGAGACACACACACTGTTGCTTAGTTGGTTTTTAGATTGAACGTAGTAGAAACTGCATGTCTTAAATAATTGGCTTCCAGAAAGGCGATGTTGCTTAGTTAATGCAGCATCTGAACAACTCCAGGTTACTTAAAGCTGCCAAATGAATGAGCTCATCGAGTAAAGACAGAAGACTATATATCGAAACAGTCACAGGACAAGGTTTTTGCCTTTATCGATTAATCAGTGATAAGTCAGGTCTGTCATTTTTAAAAAACTTCTTTGAGACAATGCTAAAGTGCAGCTAACTTTCTGGGGTCATTTTAGTCTTTCTGTGGGTGACCCGAAATTTCTATTCTCTGTTTTGATAGAGCCATTATTTTTGTCCTGTATTTTAGAGAAGTGTGTCTTTATTCCTAAAAGAGTACTGGTAGAAACTCAGTAAAAATTTTTATTGTAATGTATAATTCATATACCATGTAACTCACCAATTAAAGAGTTCAGTGGTCTTAATATATTCAAAGTTGTACAGCCATTACATACTTTTAGAATAATTTTATTACTATACTTTCTAGCATTACCTGTAATAACCCTGTACTTTCTAGCATTACTCAAAAATAACCCTGTACTTTCTAGCATTACTCCTTCCTTTCCCATCTCTTACTTCAGTCAACAGGAACAATTTGCTAAGTTATCTCTACTGAACTTATTCCCAAAGATAAGTGATAAAATTCTATAGTAAGGTCTTTATGGCATAAACATAATTTAGTGTTCCTAACTCTAGATATGAGCCAGTGAAACATGAGATAAAGTAGGAGGAGGAAGGGAAGCTCTGAGGAGAGACACTTTGCAGAACTTTTATCTTTCAGTTTTTATACTTTTTTTTTTAAAAAAAAACTTGTTTTGTCTTTGCAGGAAAAAATGAAGAACGAAATTGCTGCTGTTGTCTTCTTTTTTACAAGACTAGTTCGAAAACATGATAAATTGAAAAAAGAGGCAGTTGAGAGGTTTGCTGAAAAATTGACTCAAATACTCCAAGAAAAATACAAAAACCACTGGTATCCAGAAAAACCATCAAAAGGACAGGCCTACAGGTAAAAGATTAAATTGCACAGTTGGATTGGACCATGTGAAGAGGCAAATCAAGTCCTGAAAGGTGTTCAGGAATAGGGGACAAAGGATATCCAACTGATGCATGTAAAGACTTTATCTGCAACATACACAATTTTGGGAGGGGTGGTCTTTACTCATTCTAAAGTATAAAAATTTGTTGGAGGAGTCGCACCATCTAGACTTGGGACACAATGCTATGGGCTCATAGGAGTTAGTCTTTTGTAGTTATAGCCTGGCTCCTGAGTACCTTTCTCTGTATCATAGAGGTACTGGGGGGTTTTCACAATTTTGGAGGACTTGTGACTCAAATGGATATGATAACAGTTGAGGGAAATGAGTTGTCTTATATCCAAAAGTAAATGACATGCTACCAGTGTTTTAAAGAACAAGTTTTATGGAGAAGGGAAACTAAGATTATTAGAAACCTAATATGTTCTTGATACTAAAAGGAAAAAACTTTATTTATATTATGCATAATTCTTTGTGGTAGAAACTAGGATGACTGTATTATAGATAAAGATAATTCAACATCGGTAGATCCTCTGGCATTAAATATGCCACCTGGCCTGTGTGGATATGGATAATATCCACACCTGGTAAATACTGGTTCTGGAATTAGAATTCCAAGTCTCACTGACTGCTATTCTCACGATCTTTTTACACACCACAGCCTTGGCACTGAAAATGAAGAAAATTCTCACTTGTGGCTGTCTTTATAGTCTGGGTTGTAAGTTGCATTTACAGCTTGAGGTAAAGAAGAGCAGGTTCTTACAAAACATGTCCTGGCATGCTCACTCCCTAGTATTTATATAACTGCTGAAGAATCTGAGCTGAGAATCTCCTTTTAAACCTAGCTTGTCAAACCTTTACCCATTTTTGGATGAGTAAAAAATAACAAAAGTAGAATAGTTGTGACTATAGTGACAACTATAGAAATTTTTTGTCTGTTGTTGTCCTCAGAGTTTCCTCCACAAATCAGCACTTTTGTGCTTTGGTGTGAAAAGAACTTCCTGCTCTCACGGAGCTCTTGCAAGTGTAGGACTGTTAAGGAGGGAGGCAAAAGTATGATTTATTTTTCATTTGCTAAAAGCCAAGTGAGTTGGTGTTCTATTGACAAGAAAAGAACCAAGATATTTAGTGTATTTCCTCCTTCATTTTTATTCAGAGTTCCTCTAGTAATTTGGAATGTGTGAATTAAAGTAGAAATGTGGCTATTAACAAAGACTTGCGAGGTTTTTTAATCTTCTCACTTGATTCTGTTCATTTTTTCTTGCACAAGTTAGAGCTTTTGAGGCTTCATTTCTGAAGATGTGAGTTAGAGTTATTGAGGCTTTTTACACTGATCTGACATTGGATGATGCCTTTTGGAAGTGCCCAGCCACTGTATTATTACTGAAAGAAAGAGGCACTGTCAAGTAAATGCTTAAAGGTCAGACTGTATAGTTTCATTTCCATTAATTCTAAAAACTTGAGAAATTAGTGAAACAGGATTAAATTGGCATGTGATCAGAAGTGTCACTGAGTCATTTTAAAGATGCCCTTGAAGTAGGAAACTAAGTCTTCGTGGTAGATTGAAGACTCTTTTATAAAAATGAGAATACAGAATAAACTAGAGTTATTAATAAAGTGTCTTCAGTTCATAGAATAGGTTGAAGCACTTTTTCTTCCAACATATTTATAAATTAAGATTGTTTCTTATTATACATATTAATAGTACACATAGGTAAGATGTTTATGAAAGGGAGTTTGGCAGTATTAAAATCTATAAAAACATTCATGGCTTTTAAATACTAAGTCTTCTAAAGTCTTTTGGAAGCATAATCAAGTGCAGATAAATACATATGAATATGAATGTTTCTTATACTTTATAATTGCAAAAAACTAGAATAAAGACAATGATAAATACTTGTATGCAACTTTTAAAATCTTATTTTTGAAAAGTAGTAATAAGTAAGTCAGCACAGCATGTAGGGTGAAAGAATAACATACAAATATATAAGGTATCTAAATTTGTTGAAGCAAAGTCTGTGTTTAGCTATCTACATTTACAGTTTTTAAGCTTAGAGCCACATTGCCCTTATAATAGATAAGATATATCTCCTTATTCTTAACTGCTTTTGACACTGGAACACAAGGGGCTTTTGAATTACCTAATACAGTATTAGAATCTGTAGCATAGTTCTAAGGTTCAAGCAGCATCTTACATACTAAAAACAAACTCTTTCACTCTGAATTTGTTACATGGTTAATGATACTGACATTGGCACAAACAGACAGAATAGGATATTGTTCTGTTTTTTTTTTTTTTTATTTTGTTTTGTGATGCTAGGAATAGTGCTTCACATATGTCAGGCAAACCCTCCACTCCTGTGCCACAGCCTCAGCCTTAAGTTTTGTTAAGGAAGGTGAACTTTGGAGACTGGAGGCATGGGTTTGATCCCTAGATTTTATCACTACTCGGTTGTGATCTTGCACAACTTGCTCCAACTCTGTACCTTGTTTTTTCCTTGTAGTGGTAAGAACAGTACTTAGCACATAGAGTAGTTGTATTAAAAGAGTTAATACACAACAAGCATTTAAGAAACTGCCTATTACATAGCGAACATTCAATTACTATAATTATATTTTAGAAACAATTAGCTGTTACGAGAACTTTTTTTATTCTTTCAATGAAATCTGATACCAACTAATAAAATGTTTTTAAAAACTAAATAGCACATTATTCTTGACAGCACTGTATTTTATAGCATAATTACTAGTTGTCAGTTAATTTGTGTTGCCTTATTTTATAGCTTCAGATTTGAAGAACAGATTTAATCTAAGTACATCCAATAAATAAGTACTAACAGACTAGGTTCTCTTGATTAGTTCTTGGTTGTAGGCAGTGTTTTCCACTGTAGCTACCTTTTTCCTGCTTAAGTGGAATTCTTGTTAGTATGTTTTTGCATGCACTGTAGTAGCCATCTTTGAACATTCTGTTGGTAAATGTGATATTTGTTAGACTAAAAAGCGTGTGTAACAGGATCTATTGGTTTGGTTTAGGCATTTTTCTCATTTGTTTTGGCAACTTTTTGTTTAAAGATCCTTCTTTAACAGTTCTATGAAATAATCCCATAATATTTAAGGATTATATCTTAATTATAAGTACAGTACATGATACAAATAGTTCTATGCCCTTGACTGTATTTTTCATATTATAGATGAGGCAAAGGGTAGCCTGTTACCTTACATACTATCTTTATATATTATCTGGGATGTTAAATTAATGACAGATTAAAAAGTCATAAGACTTTCCAAATATCATCTGGAAATCCTGGGTCTTTGTTATAGATTCTGCTGTTCAGGAACTTAGCTTACAAAAATTGTACCATTAGAATTACAAATAATTTTATGAAAATTTCCTACTTCCTGCTCACTTAATGTACATATGCAGTCAAGTCTGGGCAAACAAAAGTGGAATGATTTCTAGTGATTACTCTGGGCTCACATATGTGCCTTTTCAGCGGACGAAACAGTCTTGATTCTGCTGTCCTCTAGCCAGTAGTTCACATTCATTATCTAAGATAAATAGTCTCCTGGGTTCTTTAGGCTATTTCATTTTTTAAATTACTCACTTTGGCAACTGGTAGATAGATCTGTGATTAAGATGCAGTTAAAGCCATTAATGTAACTTCACTTTGTTATAGATGCATTCGTGTCAATAAGTTTCAGAGAGTTGATCCTGATGTCTTAAAAGCCTGTGAGAACAGCTGCATCTTGTACAGTGACCTGGGCTTACCCAAGGAGCTCACTCTGTGGGTGGACCCATGTGAGGTGTGCTGTCGGTGAGTTCTCACATTTGGTAGTAAACTGATTTTGCAAAATTTTCTCATATAAGGCCTATCTCTGTATATATATGGCAGTGGTTTTGGCTTGCAGATATGAATTTTATGAAGTACTTGTTACTTTCCTGCTTTACAGCTAAAGGAACTCAGAATCAGATTGGATAAGGATTTCCTGGAGGTTTACCAAAAATTTTATCATAGTCCAAAAAGTAAAATGATACTTAGACTTCTCTAAGTCAATTACTGTCTTTCATTGGTGGTATAATTTCTCTCAAGTTTGGAAAGAAACTACTTCCAAATAGCACTACATAGTAACTTTTGATTGGTCTTTGTCTTTATTATACCTCTCTCTAAGGCTGGGGATATAGCTCAGGGGCACAAGCACCAGCCTGGCAAGCGCAAGGTCCTGAGTTTGATTCCCAGTACCAAAAAAAAAAAAAGTTAGTCTGTTATACCTCTGTCTCTCCTGTTTGGTTTTCACATGACTGATACTTTCACTTTTTTTTTCATAATGGGAAATTACTTCTTTTATCTCACAGTTATAAAAGATGAGTGGTAGGTTTAAACTCTGTTCCTTCAAAAAACATTGTGGACAAGGTATTCTTAGTTGTGGGGTTTTCAAACATTTTGCTTTTAGAGAGAGGCAATGGAGAAGAATAGGTAAGCAAGTTGCAGTGGAGTCTGGTTTATGCTATAATAGAAATACTTACAAAGTTCAGTGGTAGATGATACAGAAGAGTTATTGGCTCTGCTGGAGAAAAGGAAAGTACTGAGTAGGTTATACTTGAATTGGGAGCGGAGAGATGAGTTGAGTTTGACTAGGTGACAAAGTGCGAATGAAGTTCCTAGAGGAGGAAGAAACAAGATGAACTAGAGGCATGGAACCCCCTCAAGAATTTTCTTATAGTTGTATGTGTAGATTGTTTTTGAAGTGCAGTTCTCTGTTGAGAGCTGCACTTCAGTTCTCCTCTATAGGAGAGCTCCTTTTAATGTTTCATAGCTTTTGACCTTATCCTCAGAAGGTGGAAGTGAAGATATGTAGTCCCAAAAATACACAGCTAGTCTTCCACCAAATTTTAGTGACAATACTCATGGCAATTATCACCTATTTTGTCAACATTCGGTATAAACTTACTGTTTGGTGAAACCAGGTGTGTAGGAGATAGTATTTTATAGAGAGAAAGGTTGTCCAATACTTTTTTCTTGGTAAAAGAGGAAAACTAAGCCATCTCTCTTTGATCTAAGAAAGTCAAACATTTTTATCTCACCTGAAACTAATGTTGGACTTGTGAGACTCTGACCACTGAAATCCCTGCAAAAAGACATCTGCTAACAAGAAATAACTATCACAAAGTTACTGTTAACGTTTTTGTTTGACCTGTACTTGGAACCTGATTGACTCTCTTTTAACATAATTTTTAAAGTTAATTGTGTAATTTCTCAGCCCATAAAAAAATCAGAAGCAACATTTTAAACAAGGTGGGTCATAGTGATCATAAAACTACAAAAATGTCATAAAGTCTGATGGAGAGGCAAGAAAGCAAAAGCTAAAAAGTAGATACATTGTCACATCTTCATATAGTTAATACAATAAATCTAAATCAGGGAAAAGTTTTTATAGCTGAGAATATTTTTAAAATCTGATAATTGACAAACATTTTGGACATACTTTAAAAGCTTAAAATAAATCTTGGCATCTGAAGATAAAAGCTGTAGTTATTTAGACATTCTAATTAAGTAGATACTTTGCTTGATGGTGCCATATTATGAAAAACACTACTATGCTTTCATCTTGTTAATTTCAGGAAAATGTTTGGCTTTAATAGCCTTCTAATAATTTTATTGATAATTAAAATTTTGCAAAACTTGTCTGCAATTTCTTTTTCTCACTTCTAACAGAAATCACCTTTAGAATGTAGGGTGATCATTCAGTACTAAGAGAACCCTGAAAAGAAAGATGGATTAGCAGTTGAGTAAAGATGATTAAAGTGAGTTAAGAGACACTGAAATACTGAGAAAGGATTTTGAACAAAACTAGAAAAATAAATGTTCTGGAAATTAAAACAATGCTGATATAGCAGTTATATGGTTGAACAAATATCTCAAAGTCTTTAATAACTCACTGGTATACTAGAAACTAAGATTTTAAAAGAAATTGAGTAGCACTCAGAACATTCTTTATAGTTTTTCAACATTCTTTATAGTTTTATAAACTATAGTTTATAGTATCCTCTGTCAGGATAAATGCTACGTGAGTACAAAGACTGCCATATAGTTAGAAAGGTTATCATTTAATGAAATATTTTAGGATCCAGAATAAATAGCGGATCTTTCCTATGATAAGAAAGTCCATGAATAGTTGGAAGTATTCATATTCAACGTATTTCCTAACTTTTAAAGTAATCTGTACAATATTTTTTGATAGAGACTATTAGATAACTTGATTTGCTTTAGTACTAACTACATTAGCATTGATGTTTTATCAGTGCATTACTTGGGGGGAAGATGTTTAAAAGTTGTCCTTTACTAATGCTAAGGAAATCGCTGCATATTTTGGTGTTACAGTAGTAGGATCAGCAGCTTAGCTTACCATTAAAGAAGCCCTCATACCACAGTACTACAAAAGGAGTAGTGCAGAAGCTAATTGTCAAAGAAATCTGATAAGCCAGGTATGGTGGCTGAGGTAGGAAGATCCCAAGTTCAGTCCCAGCCTAGGCAACTTAACAATACCCTGGCTCAAAAAATTAAAAAAAAGTTGGGGGTGTAGCTCAGTGCAAAGGCCCTAGGTTCAGTCCCCAGTACTGCAGACCAGGAGGAAGGGAGGGAATGAGGAAAGGAAGCAAGATAAGGCTGATCTTTCAGTCATTGGATATCTAACCTTGGTTTAGATTTCTATTTCTGCAAAGGCAGGGACTTTTCCAGACTTCTAGCCTTTTTGTTTTGCTTGCATTTTGACTCCTTAATGGCAGACCTGAAGATATAATTTCTGTTACTTAAACTATATGCTAAGTAAACTTGAAATGATATATATGATATGAATTTTGTACCCAACTGCGCTGACATTTTATACTAATAATTGCTGGTTAGTTGAGCATGGAGGATCATTGCAAATTCCAGGCCAGCTTGGGCTACATAGTGAGTTCAGGTCAGGACCAACTGAACTGCATAACAAGACCTTGTTGAAAAAAAAAAAAAAATGGATAGTTGAAGATCATCAGATGTTTAGTCATCTCCACCTCCTCATCCAGCATATAAGAAACCAAAGCCTTTCTCCTCTCCTCCCAGAGCTAGTTAGTGGCAGAGCCAGAACAAGAAATTAGTCCAGTGCTCCTTCCACCAGACCATAGCAATACCAATACCATTTGTGAAATAAACTGGAAAGGGATAGAAGAAAGGAGCTGTACACCATATTTGAGTAGCATTTATGACTCCACTCAGCCTGTGGAAGTGGAAGACAGCACAGTGATTTAAATAGTGTTTACTTGTGAGAATATTGGATTTCCACATAAACTTTCAGAGATTATAGTAGTTAGGCATTTTACCTTATAAGATGTTATAAGGATTCAAAAATAATTTGAAACAAGAGTTAGTTATCTTTGAATGACAGCAGTTAATCTTGGTTTTCTGCTGAATCAAAAGGTTGACATTTCTACTCAGTTACTTTAATATTTTTCAAGCTTAGGGTCACTTTGTGTTTTAACTATTTCCTTTGTCCTAAAACATTAGCAATTATTTCAGTGTTTACATTGTGCAAGCTACTTGAGTAGATTTGTGGGTTTTTCCTTTGCCTTTTGAATTAAGTCCTATTTTGCTGTTCTCATTACAGAATTTATTTTCCTTTTTGTTTTTTAGTAACCAACACTTAGGGTTACCAGTTACAATTTTCATATACCAAGCCTTCAGTGTTTTTGAAGGATAAAAAGGCTTACTTACTTTACTTTTTTAAAAAATAGTTTAGGTTAGAGGCAAGCGATATAATTGAAGCCAACTCTTTTCTCAACAGGTCTTTTTCTCCAGCATCAGTAACTGCTTGAATTCTCATTTTTATCAGTGTGAATACAGTAAACACAGGCTTGTTTTTAATTTAATCATGATAAATGTAAATCTCATAAGAAATATCCAGTTGATTTCACTGGTAACATACAAAAGTACAGCCAGTGTATTTGTTATGTTTTAAATGATTTTTGTTAGGAATCAGCTGAAAAGGGAAAATTGAGCAAGAAAATATGATCACTTTTATTTGTACTTAAATAGACCAGAAGTAGAAAATTATGGCCTGTTTGCTGGCATGGAGCTGGAATAGGATATTAAATGTATAGGGGCCAGTTCTGGGATGTTTCCTTTATTACTTTGGTTGGCATGTCCAGACGTATTTAATTGTATTTATGACTACAGTACTTGCTTTGTTGGTGAGACTTGAAAATTTGTAAATATTTTATGTGCACTTAGGTATGGAGAGAAAAACAATGCATTCATTGTTGCCAGCTTTGAAAATGAAGATGAGAACAAGGATGATATCTCCAAAAAAGTTACCAGAGCCCTTGATAAGGTCACCTCTGATTATCATTCAGGATCCTCTTCTTCAGATGAAGAAACAAATAAGGAAGTAGAAGTAAAACCCAGTTCACTGACTGCAACCCCAAGTCCTGTGTACCAGGTAACCAGCAGATTTTACTTGTTAAGCAAGATAAGGTTCATAGTAAATCAGATTGCTAATAATTCATTATAAATAAATTGGCCCTTAATTTTTAGGTTTTCTTTTTAAATCCAATGGCATTTATTTTCTTTCCATCAAGAAAGACCACTAGAATAATAGGCATGGACATCAGGTGTCTTTACATGTTTTTTTAAAAGTATTTCTTGGTATTTGTGGTGGATTGATTGTGGCCAACCTGAGTGGGAGCACCCAGCTGAATTAAGTCAGTGTGGTTCTGGGCATGGAAAATCTACCTGAGGATTGTTGTCAGGACAGTTACAAAAGGATTACAGGAGGAGATCTTCCTTGCTAATCCTCGTTGCTGCTGGTTTTCCTTGGAAAGGCCTTATTCCAGAATCCTGGAGTCCTCTGCTGCAGTTCACCTATGAGGGCCTGCCAGAGACGAGCAGAGGCTGCTGAGCTTTGGCTGCTATTCTCTTTGGTAAAGCTCTTGGCTTCTGTTTTGAGCATCATATCCTGGCTGTAGTGCAGATCCCTCAGCCTTCTGACACTTACTCTTCAGCCTTTTGGTGCAGACATGGTCTTACATGGGACACTGCCTTGGGATCTAAGCCCTTGATTGTACCCTTTGGGTCTCCAGTGCACAGACAGGCATTTTGCACTCTCACACATTAAATCTGCCCTCCTCTACAACTATATTCTAGTAAAGCATTGACTAATACAGCATTATACTCAACAAAACATTTCACAGCAGAGAAATTCTCTCATTCTAAACCCTTATACTAGAAAACTAGTGTATATGTGTCCCATTTTAATCTTTTCTTTCTGTCTACTTTATATCTTCAATCTGATATTGCCAAGAGCTTTAAAGGAGGTTATCAAATAAGGGCAAAAAGTCCCTAGTTTGGGTTCTTGTTTTGTAGTGTTTCTGAAAGGTATACCTGGAGTCAACTCTCCACAAATACAGAAGTGAAAAATACGTGAACTCTTCCATTAAGGAACAGATTGATTCAGAATCTTTGAAAAAAGAGAATCAAGTCAGAGCAATGACACTAACATAAATACTATATTTGAGACAGTGTGAGAATGATTTGAAGATAAATGAGTGTGTCAGTGGGATAATACAAGTCCAGAATAAATCCACTTAATATATATTCTAGTTGGTCCCCTGTCACCACATGCACAATGCCAGAGCAATTCACTGGGGACAGTACTTAAGAACTGGTGCTGAAACAACTGAATAATCTGTATAGAAGGGAGAAAAATAGACCTACTATTTGAAAGGATCATTGACCTAAAACATAAAACGTAAATCTTTAGTGCCTTTAGAAGAAAATATAAGGAAATATGTATTATATCTTGGTATAGGCAAAGATTTCTAGGGGTCACAGAGAGCACTAAAAAGGAAATAGACCTCATAAATTTAACTACAATTCAGAATCTTTTTTTAAAATCTCTGTGGTCATCAGAAGCCACTGAGAAGACAAATAAGCAAACCATAAACTGGGACAAAATACAATATACATCTGTAAAGAATTTGTCTCCCGAGTATACTTTAAAAATCAGTCCTACAAATTGATAGCAAAGACAAATTATCTAATTTAAAATAACTGGCAAAAGTTGTGAGAAAAATCTATACAGAAGAAGTTGCATAAATAACCTGATAGCCACAAAAAGGTGTTCAGCCTCATTTGTTGTCAGGCAAATGCAAATTAAAACCACAGTGAAACAGTACTTGTTCCAAATTAAAAACCCTGACACCAAATGTTGGCAAAGATGTGAAGCAGCTAGACTTCATAAATCACTAACGGGAATGTAAATGGTACGGCCACTTTCAAAAATGTACTTTTTAAAGGTAAGTATGTATCTGATCTTTAACAGCCAACAATTCTAACCCTAAGTATTTATCAAGAAAAATGAAAATGCCGGGCATGGTAGTGCACACATGTAATCCCAGCACTCAGGAGGCTGAGGCAGGAGGATCCTTGCCAGTTTGAGGCCACCCTGGGCTGCAAAGTGGGCTCAAGGCCAGCCTGAACTGCATAGTGAAACCCTGTCTCAAAAAAAAAAAAAGGAAAACGAAAATACATGTCTGTAAAGCCAAGTAAAACAAGTAAGGCACAGAATAGTATTTTTTAAAATGTGTGTACATGTGCTCAGAGATATGCACAAAAAATTGACTAGTGTCAGTTGCCCAGGAAGGGCTGTTGGGCATTTTAATTTGAATAGGGACTCACTTTTTACCCTTTTCTACATTTTATATTTTCTAGCGTATGAATATAGTGTTGTACAGAATATAAATTAAAAAATTTCATTTGTAAGGACAGATTAGACAACTTATAGCATGAGCATTCTGAGTAGAGGTCCCAAACTGCTTATAATAATGTGAGCTTGGTGAGCCTACCATAAAATCTATTTTATGTTTAGAAAAATTTTTTGAGTACAGAAAAAAATAGTGTGAAATCATGTGGTTGCAAATAAAGGAATAATGTAAGACTGCTTTTCCCAAATGCTGAACTGGCTACAACTGAATCATCTGCAGAAGCTTCTCTGTTCCAGAGATTTTTGTTATTGTTCAGTAGACCCAAGACAGAGGCATAAATGCTAACATATTTTACAGGACCATAAGTGACTCCTTGCTTGGCATTGAAAACACTGTAAAACTGTATGTTCTTATAAGCTCCCATGCATTCCATTTTGTGACCTTTTCTGGGTGAAACTATCTTAAGTGTTTGAGTTTATTAAGTTCTTCACTCAGAAAGCATTGATCACCTATTATTAATAAGTTTTTAAAATATTTAGATTTAACCATAGGAATGTCTCTTAGACATACTTTTAGAAGACTGTGAGTGATTTTGTCTTTCATGAGTAATCTAAAAGGTTACCTACTGAGTGTTTACTGCTCAGTGTTTACTGAGCATAGGACTAGTACTGGGAATTGAACTCAGAACCTCATGCTTGCTAGGCAGGTGCTGACTAATTTTTCATTTGAATTAATGTTTTCTCTTCTACAGATTTCAGAACTGATATTCCCACCTCTTCCAATGTGGCATCCTATGCCTAGGAAAAAGCCAGGAATGTACCGTGGAAATGGTCATCAGAGTCACTACCCTCCTCCAGTTCCGTTTGGTTATCCCAATCAGGGAAGGAAGAATAAACCATATCGCTCAATTCCAGTGACATGGGTACCTCCTCCTGGAGTGCATTGTGACCGGAATCACTGGATTAATCCTCACATGTTAGCACCTCACTAGCTCCTTTTGATTCTCTTGTTGTCATATTGGAAAAAAGGGTAGAATATACCTTATTACACATTAAAAGTTCATATTCATAGTAGTGAAGTTAGATGAACCAAACCATCAAACTTATTTTTATAGAGAAGTTATGAGAATAATCTTTCTTAAAAAATATATATATATGCACTTTAGATATATTGATATAGTTTAAGAAACTTTATTAGTCAAGTGCCTGAGTTTTTAATATTGGACTTGAGTATTTATATATTGTGCATCAACTCTGTTGGATACAAAAACACTGTAGGAGTGGATGATCTGTTCTAGCACCGTTGAGCATTTACTTTATGGAGAGTGTGTAAGTTATTTATAATACAAGAAAATCTATTTTATGTTGTTTAGAAAAACTGTGTGAAATCATGTAGTTGCAAATAAAAAGTAGTTTGAGGCATGATGATTGTGTGTTTTTGTTCAGGACATAAAAATAGAGAAAAAGCAAAGGGATATTTTATCTCATACGTAAATATTTCCAAAGTTTCATTTTTAAAAAAAACTTTATTAACCATACCTTCTCCAAAGGCTACATACCAAAATATACATATAAAAAGTCCAAGATTTGTTAGTGGTAGCTAATTGAAAATATAAATATGTCTTTTAACTACCGAAGTCAGCATACATGATTTTTCTAACCAAGAATTTCACCCACCATAATTTGACACACATGTGACTTATATGTCTTACACCACTACATAAAGCAGAAATGTTCTTTTAAAAAAAAAAAGCAGAAACATTCTTATTGCCACTTTAATCTTGTGCCATGTGCTTTTTTCAAATCGCTTTAGTCGTTACTAGAGGTATAAATTAAAGTCAAATTGTACAGTACTTCAGATTCTTCAGCAGTCCTTCACACTTACACCACTGTAATCCCATCAGACTTTTAAGTGTATTTGAACTACAAAAAGAACAAAAATAAAAGAAATGTAAGAGTTTAGCTGTTTTTTCCAAGATAAGTTTTTAAATACCTAAGATGAGTAGTACTTTCCCCATCATTCTCATCTTTACATTTTTTGTCTTGAATTGTTCAATTTTTCAAGAACACCAGAACTTGCTAATACCTCATTGAATAGCCTTGACTCTTCCAAAAAATGATGAAGGTATAGCTCAGTGGTGTGGAAGGATGAAGCCAGCTTTTACAGTAGAATTTACAGTGTTTGCAGTTTCATCAGGAAATTAATATGGGGTTCATTTTTAAACCATAGAGACTTCTAGTTATGTTATCACACTACTGTCAAGCCATGTTTTTCTAAACCATAGTAGCTACATTTTTTCCCTTAAACCTTTTCTTTAGTGTTAACTGGCATCACAAGCGAGTTTTAACATTAAAAAAGTTTAACCATCAGTCCTTGCACTGTTCTCTTGTGGGTCCTGGAGTTCTATGGTGATAATAACTTATGGGCAAATTGGTGTAAAGTTGAAAAGTTTCAAGCATTTGTATCACAGCAGCATTCTTCTGTTACTCTGCTTGTGTTGCAGATACTCTGTAAGCCTTTGGGAAAATCAAAAGCATAAAAGCCATTGCCAAGGGATGTGTTACTTTTGACATATACCTAGTAACCACAGCATTATTCCAAAGTAGAACAAAATCTCTTCTTCATTAGTGCTGATAATTAAATGATAGGACCTCTGGGGGTAAATGACTGATTTGAATTTGACTACCTGAAGACTGCTCTACTGACTCCATCCTTCCCCTTACTCTAAACTTTTTTAAATAAAGTATTATGTAAAGCTTTTATCAATAGGGCCTTTCCAGCCTGAAATTCATCAGTCTTAGCAGTTAGGTCTTAAATTCTACTAAGCATAGGGTACAAAAATTTGCCAAAACCCTTAATAGGAACCAGGACTCAGTATTTCTCAGATAACTCCAGGACTTTACTAAATGAAGATAAAACATGGCTACATAATTCCAGCTTTGAAAACCTATCAGGCTCTTTGAAGCAGAGGTGCTTTATGACAGTGTACATAATGGCTGTGGTTTGGGTTCTTTTTGAGACAAGGTCCCACTGTGTAGTCCAGGCTTGCCCCAAACTAGCTGAGGCTGGCTTCAAACTGATTATTAGGACAGACGCTCAAGTGCTGGGATTATAGGTATGCACCACCACACCATCTGGAGGATAATTTAATTCTCCATTTGCTTTTATATTTATAGGTATGACTTCAAAGCCTTGTCTAGAGGTTATACTTGGACATGAATGTTTGAAAAAATTCTTTCATATGTTCTTACCAATACTAAAGTGCTCATTTCTGGTTTTTGAATATAATACTTATTTTAAACTAATAAGGCATTTATGTGGACTTCTTAGCTATCAGGTTTTTTTCATAATTTATTTGACAATTGAGAAGAGGGAAAAAACTTACCTACTATATACATTTTATCTTACAAAGCAGCTGCATTTCTATCCATTTGACAGGAAATTGTAAACAGTTTGTTTTTGTTGTATGTGCCAATAATTTATTTGTCATAATCACCCCATGAAGCAGATTACCGTTATTACCCCAGTTTAGATAAGGACTCTCAGATAAGTTTAAAATGCCCCAGATCACAGAAAGCTAAGCAATTAATGCCTTTATGTACAAATAAGCTAGGCTTTTAAAAGCCTGTAATCTCTGAGATTTTGTTAATTATAAAATCCCCCAAATCTTGAAACTTATATGAGAAGCTTCAGTATCAGAGTAGTATTTGAAAAGAGCTGTGTAAAGATTAAACACATGAAAAAACAGGACAGCAAAGTATATTAACCAGAATTGTTAGGAACTATTCAGATGTTTCCTAAAAAAAAGGATTAATAACTTGAAACTATGTTTACTGAACTGTAAGTCAAATGGCAAAAGACAATACAACCCAACGGAAAAGAATTGGGATAAGAAAGCAAACTACCAATTATCAGTCAAAAGGAAAGATCACAGAATTAGTACTAATGCACAAGGTTATCACAGTCTAACTCTTAGTTATTAAATATTGGGTGATTTTAACATGGTACACAATGTTAATATTCCTTGTTCCAAATTTTTCTGTATACCTCTGGAATTTGTATTCTGGTGGGTAAAACAGTTAATACAGCTGTAGGCAATCACAACATCTTTGTATTATATATGGCTCTGTTGCAGTACTGACTCATACAGGTTGCCACACTAGCATAAATTTATAAAATGTCTGTACTTTATTGCAGAAACCATTACCTGCTTTCCAATTTAATAGCAGTAGTCTATCTTCCTGGTTTCTTTGTTCTTCTTTCACACAATTTAAGGATAACAGAACCAAAATGTAAATGTATTTAGTCCTCACTAAGCACCAGGACTTTTAGCAGATGCATCACTGAAATTAAGTGTGGTTTGATGTTTATTCTACTAAAGCACACAACAAAAGGGTCAAGTTTGTTTCTACCTTCAAAACAGACTAACAGTAGGAAGGACTTTTATAAAAGTTAACATAATTATGGGAACAACTTTTTGCTTAAATTTTACACTAATTTAGGATTTAGAGAACCACAGTATGGCTACAAAACTACCATGTTACATGTATACATGCATACATAAAACTTATAAAGACTATGGGTGAAAAGCATTCATATCCATGTTCGATTTTAATGTGTCATTTCTGTAAATAATAAAATGTCAGTGTCATGGCCATTAAGTGCATCAACTTCACTAATAATGCAAGTTAAAAGATGTGTCTTGGTGATCATAAGATTAACAATGCCTTGTTTAAACATTACACGATGTATACATATATCAAAACATCAGAGGGCCCTACAAATTGTACAATCTTTGTGTAGCAGTGAAAGAAATGTAAAAGTTTAATAATGCTCATTATTAGGGTATGGGGGAAGTAAGTTACTCTTACTAGAGATTTAAAAATATACACCCTTTTTGAAGGGCAGTTTTACCTCTTTGAAATGTGTATCTTTTGAACAAGGAATTGTACTTCTACAAATTTATCTACAAAAGTACTCAAATAAGGCGGTCATTATGTAAAAGTGTTTATTGAAAAGTTTCTTTGGGTTAAAAACAACCACCACCAAGAGATAAAATCTGAACATGTACTCAAGGAAATACATGAAAAATATGAAGTTATAAAAACATCAATTTGTAATGACAGAGAACAAACTATTGAAAATGGGATGTTATTTTTGGAATGGTGTCTCTATTGTTTAAAAAAAAAAATGAATACCTAGTTGTTTGTAGTCACAGAAAGGGAAAGGGCAATAGGCGAGATACTTTCATTTTTTACACTGTATATTTTAATCTCTAGACTTTTATAGTGAGCATTACTTTGTAACTAAGGAGGTAAAAAAGTTCTTTAAAACCACTTACAAGAGAAAAAAGTAAAAAGCACTTAAAAAATTTAATGGATTTTATTTTTAGCAAATATAAATATTACACCTCACTGATAACAGCCTAACAAAGTATTTCCACAAATATGCAAAAGTTGTTCAAAAATGCTTTATTGCAGCATTATTTCAAGAAAGAAAGGTTACATTTCAATCATACTGTTTAAAAATAGAAAGCCAAGAAAAGGTTGATCTATGTCTAGTGATAAGAAAAGCTGGGTATGATATTTTAGGTTAGGGGTAGAAACAGGTATAAAAGGTAAAAATAATCATAGAACTTAAGTTTATTTAAAATCAAGTGATGATACTTGGAGTATTTTGGCAAGTATCAAATATTCAGTATATTTACATAAGGTATATGATGGCTGAAAATGAATATAAAAATGACAAACAGAATTCACCTAGATTATCACAAGATACAGTATTAATGCATACAGGTATATTAAGCATTTCACCTAACAAAAATGGGAACTAAAAACTGTGCTTTCTGTGTGATAAGGCTCTGTACATTCTAGTATGTCTTTACATTACAAATGAGAAAAGTCAGTACTCACGCACATTGCCCCAGGGTCTCATAGGGCTTTAAACCCAAGCACTTGGATTCCAGGACACATGCTTTTAGGAGCTAGACAGTTGCAAATATTGTTATTAAACTGTCAGTAGTGGTTACACTTAAACTGTTAACAACAGTGTATGAACATTATTTTTTTGTCATATAGGAAACAATAAAATAGACAAAATTTTTGTATTTTCCTGGTTTAGACCTGATGTCAGTGAAAAGAAATAAATCCAAAATACATACATATATTGGCCACAAGAGGGCATCAGACATTTTCGAACTACGAAGCTAAAGGTTGGATGAAAACAGTGCCCCTTCTATATGAGAAGTATTACTGTTTGTAGTCTAAAACACTGATTTTCCTGTCGCTTTACAGGTACACATTGTTATCGGTAATGAGAAAGTTTAAGTATACCACAGTTATATACAACAAACACTTATCAGAGTTATTTTTCTGTTTTTGAGATGGGGCCTTGCTATGTAGTTCAGCTTGGCTTTGAACTCATT